GGGAAAGCTGCCAAGTCTGGGACTGGAACTGTAGTCAGTCATGTGGGAGTCAAGTGTTAACCACCATACCATCTGCTGGCACCCAATGTGACATTCTTAAGAGAGAGGAGGCCAGCAGGTGGCCTGGTGGTTGAGGTGCTGGACTCCCACATGGCCAACCATGGTTTGAGTCCTGGACCTGATGGCTTGCTTTCTTCCACTCCCTCTCCACTAACTCCCCTTCTGTACCTCCCACCCCCTGTCCCCGTCTTTCTCTGGTAAGCACATGTGCCCTACAGTAAATATGAAAACAATAATAATAAATATAATTAAATAAATAATTCTTAAGAAGGAGACAGAATTTAAAAATTAACTGACACATTATAAGTTGATTTCTTCTTAAATATGAATCAAGATTCACTTTTTTTTTTATTTTGGCCTCAGGTCAGTTTATTCATAGACTATATTTTTATTCTCCATGGTCATTTTTTTTTTGTTGTTGTTGCTGTTTAAAAGGCATAGGTCACATTTTAGCTACTGTTCATTTCATTACACATGAACAATTTAGTGTTCTTTGCAGCACTTTTGAGCTCTTGAAATGCCATATGCTGCAGGGGCCAGTTTTCTTATGTTCTCTCTGTCAGCAGATTTTGTTGAGAACACCTTGCTGGTAGACCCCATTTCATTGTTTAATGAAGAGATTCAATAAACCTCTGAAGGGTAAAGTTTTAAAAAAATGCCTTGTGGAGTTTTGATGTAAAGTATAAAGGTCTTCTAAGACCTTTTCACTCCTTTTCTCTTGCATTATTAATTCAACCATAAATTGTACACTTTTGAAGGACCACTACTTACCTTCATGCTAACTTCCTAAGTTTCAGTGCAGTATTTGATGACACAGGGATCATTTACAACAGGTTCAGAGCATCAGTTAACAAGAGGGTCAGTAAATAGCACTGTTATAGCTCTTATATGAATCCAATACTTAGAGCAAGTCGGGTGGCTTGGAGTGTGCAGGTATCAGATGCCCAGTGTAATGATGCCAATGGCCATGCCTAGATGGTACTCTGCATGTCTTAGGAAGCCTGCTGACATTATCTTTAAAATACAGAAAACACGATTAGCCTATGAGAGATTTTGCAAGGGTCAGTTCCCTCATTCCCTAATATCACATTTTAATTCATTCTTAGCATGCCCATGTAATAAACATTGAGAAAAAATAAGTATCAGTCATCATACCTCAGGTTTGGTTTTTTAAAATAAATAAATAAATGAAAAAGAAGGAAGAGTGAGTTGAGGAGGCTGTTGGAGGCTGTTCACAGATGCTGAAGCTGGCCTGCTGAGTTTTTCTGGTATTTTTCCATCTGTGCTGCCATCTAGAGAGGAGAGTTAGAAACACACAAAAATAAATTTGAAATTTAAAGCTGGAATTAAGAGAAAATAGATACTATATATTTATTTGTAGAAAAGTGTACAAAACAGTAAGAATAGGTGGCAATAATTTCATTTTCTTTTTGTTTTAAAAAATTTTTTAGAGAGATTTTTGCTATAAGGCAAAAATCGCTGCAAAGACAGACAGAGACAGAAAGACAGAAAGCGAGAAATTACTCCCCGGGGGGGGAGGGATGGCCACACCGCAATCCCTTCTCCTGCATTCACATCTCAGGATTTGGGGCACACATGCACAGGTGGCCAGCATGAGTTTTAGTTCACCAGGTCCGGGACTTGAACCATAGTCGACTATGTGGGATCCCAGTGATGAAACCATTACTCCATCTGCTGGTCCATTTTAAATTTTTTTAGGATTTTGCCACAGGGTGTGTGAACTTGGCTGGAGAGAGACAGGGAAAGTGACAAATCACTCCCAGGGGAGATGGCTGTGTTGCAATACTTTCTCCTGTGTTCTCCTCTCAGGATTTTGGTCACACACATACACACGGTATTTCTCAAGCCAAGCCACCAGGCCCAGGACCTGAACCACGCTCAATCATGGGAGTCCAGTGCCTTAGTCACTATGCCATCTTCTGGCCTCTTCTTTTTTCTTCTCTCACCATTCCTTCCCAATACAAAACAGAATTTTGGACTACAGCAGGAAAGGAAGCTGGCCTGCCACACGTACACCATGCAAATACACTGTCCTTCCCCACCTGCCCTATTCCTTCCCCCTGTGTCTTTTTATTTTTTTTTTTGAGAAAGATTTTTGCTACAGGGTACGAAATCACCCCCTAGGGGGATGGCCACATGACAATTCCTTCTCATCCAGTCTCCTCTTAGAATTTTTTTGTTTTTCTTTTTGAGAGATTTTTGCTATAGGGCACGTGCACTTGCCAGACAGACAGAGAGAGACATAGAGACAGAAAGTGAGAAATCACCCCCCAGGGGGGATGGTCACGTTGCAATCCCTTCTCCTCCATTCTCCTCTTGGGATCTTGGGCACGCATGCACATGCGCCTGGCGT